GCAGCTTGGCTATTCTTGTAACACGAGCTATATGTTCGTCTGCTACTTCACAATCAATGACACTACCCAACTTTTTTAACAATGTCACTAAATTCTCAGATTTACTATCGGGCATACATTGTATCTCAATATTATTGACGCGAGAATTTTGTTCCAATTGATTCACGCGCGATTGAAGACTATTGATGGTTGACTGCATTAGCTCGTTTTTCTCCTCTAATTTTTTTATCTTTTCTTGGTTTGCTTTATGGTCAATTTGAAGCATTTCAAACGTTCCGTTTATAAACTCTGTAGACTCCTCGATTTCTTTAAATTCATCCTTAATAATCTTCATTTCAGCATCCAACATTCCTCGTAAGCTGCGGTTTATTTCTTTTGTAAAGTCTGCCATGTGAGATTTTAAGACATCGATCATAATTGCACGTACGTCATCATGGGTAAGAGGATGTGCTTCATTGTTGTTCGGTGGCGACAATAGCGCTTGTCTTTTAGAGGAACGTACGGTAACATTGAGGTTAAAACGTACCGGAGTATTATCAATAGTGCCACGTTTTGGAATAGTACTGGCGCAATTTGGGCAGATCCATTTCAAGTTTATTTCCAAGGCTTTAACGGAAACACAAGCTAAGTGGTACGCCTTCAAACACTTAGTACATTTGACATCATCATCGTATCCTTCTTGTAGTGTACAACAACCCCATACCGTATTCAAAGTTTTAGCCATAATTTTTATTCAACAGAGATTTTTATTCAAATAATAAAAAAATATTATATTATAATCAGAATGGCTCCGTAATAAAGGCCCTCGTACAAATATTCATCCACGTTCACAAAGTGCACAGCAATAAAAACTCAATCCACAAACCTCGCGGGAAGAAAGTCGTAAGCGCCGTGCAAACGATGTCGCTTACGCGTTTTAATGTAACACGTAGTCCTGGGGTAGAGGCGAATAAGTTTTTTTAGTCCAGTCAATTCGCAATCCCTGATTTCATTAAAAAAAAAACACTATTATCACTTTAATCAAGTCATAAAAATTGCGACAAAACACTCAATATTCACTAATATGTTTAAATGAAGCAAAATTGAACACCAAAACACAGTTATTAGGCCTTTAAAAATTAAAATTGGGGAAACGATTTAACGTGGATGTTACTCGGCTGACGTTGTCTGTCAGTGGTACACCTTCAGGTCACTCCGTCAAGTCCGGAGATAAGGACTCATCATACCTTACAAAACGAGCCCAAACTCGGCACACCTAGTAGTACTCGGCGACCAGTTCCAATACCGATTACCAAAGTACACTTTCAGGTCACTCCGTCAAGTCCGGAGGTAAGAACTCATCATACCCAACAAAACGAGCCCAAACTCGGCACACCCAGTAGTACTCGGCTACCAGTTCCAATAGCGATTACTAAAGTACGTCTTCAGGTCACTCCGTCAAGTCCGGCGGTAAGGACTTATCATACCTAACGAAACGAGCCCAAACTCGGCACACCTAGTAGTACTCGGCGACCAGATCCAATAGCGATTACCAAAGTATACCTTCAGGTCACTCCGTCAAGTACGGAGGTAAGAACATATCATACCTAACAAAACGAGCCCAAACTCGGCACACCTAGTAGTACTAGGCGACCAGTTCCAATAGCGATTGCAAAAGTACACCTTCAGTCCTCCATCAAGCCCGGAGGTTAGGTAAAACAAAACAATAAAATAAATTTGAATTTTCAAGTGGTTTTAATTGAAACTATTCTTTTTCACTAATTTTTCCTATTTTGCCAACGAAACTTGGTTTTTTTAGAACTTGTTTTAATTGTATATGTATGTAAATAGTTGACTTAGTACCTGCTCATATCATAAAACTGACTTTAAAAAAATATTGATAATTCAAATGTAGTATGATGTCCAGACTCCAGACTCGTAAACAGTTTTGATATTAGTGAGTAGGTACTCAAAATATTATTACTAAAATACCTAGTAGTGTAGCGAACAGGAGACCTCACGGAAAAGTTTTTGTTTGGAGGTGAATTGTCTGCTTGCTTTGCGCATACTGTGTCCACGCTGCGCTCTCCGACTGCCGGTTTCGCTCCGCCCACTGCGGGACGCGCGGGTGGAAAACGAATTTCAAATCGTGCTAAGACCTCGTCATAATGCTGCTGTGTTTCGTATGGTGAATGTAGAGGACCGGAGACCCCTTTTTAATAGAAACGGGGCATTCCATCTTAGTCCTCACGGGACTAGGATCTGCATTTTGATTTGTAATCGAAGATAGATGTTTGCCATCGGGTGGACTGTGTGCTCGTTTGTCACCCTATCCTATAAAAGAAAGTATTTTCTAAAGTAGCATACTAACAAATGCCCCATTTTTCGTTAAAGGCCGTCATTATTATTAAGTGGGTAATAATAATGACGATATTTACCAAAATTAAATTTAATTGGTGAATAAGAATTGAACGAACGAACGAAACAAAAAAAAATCGAATTTCACTAATCACAAATTATTGCGTGCCTTGGAACGAGTATGGAGGGGTAAACACGATAACTTTTGAAAATATCAATTGTTCAACTTAATATACTTTTTAATCTCTTCATTTATCATGTGGCGAAAAATGCATGCGGCGAGACTTGCGCGCTCGAAGCGATCGAGCGGAACCAGGGCTCTAAAGTCTTTGCCAGAGATCTGTCTGCCAGAAAGAGCCAACTGTCAAAGCTGAAGACTGAGTGTGGCAGCATCGTTTCCGGGACACCTGAGATTTTGAGTGAGATTGAGAGGTTCTATGGGCAGCTGTACACATCATCGTTGGAGCCACACGCAAGTGTGAGTAACGATACAAGAGACAGTCTTATCTGACACTAATCCGATGATATCCCGGACGTCAGTCTGAGCGAGATTAGAATAGCTCTCCAGCACCTTAAAAAAGGCAGGGTCCCAGGCGAGGATGGAATTACACCGGAGCTTCTGAAAGCGGGTGGAACACCGGTACTTAAAGTCCTTCAGATGCTCTTCAATTCCATCCTCCATGGTGGCACTACTCCGGAGGCGTGGAGCAAATGTGTGGTGGTCTTGTGCTTTAAGAAAAGCTACAACGCTTTCTTGAAGAACTACAGACCGATTTCCCTTCTAAGCCGCGTCTACGTGCTGTTTTCGAGTCATTACGAATCGTCTCGCACGAAGACTCGACGACTTCCAGCCTCCCGAACAAGCCGGTTTCCGAAAAGGCTTCAGTACCATAGACCACATACATACCCTGCGGCAGATTGTACGGAAGACCGAAGAGTACAATCTGCCACTTTGCCTGGCGTATGTGGACTATGAGAAAGCCTTTGATTCCTTCGAAATTTGGGCGGTGCTAGTCCCTTCAGCGGTGCCAAGTTGACTGTCAGTATATCGAAGTGCTGAAGTGTTTTTACCGTGGGGCTGCGATGACTATCCGAGTACAGAACCAGAGCTCGAAACCTATCCAACTACAGAGAGGTGTAAGACAGGGTGACGTTATATCCCCGAAACTCTTCACCGCTGCATTGGAAGACGTTTTCAAGCTACTGGACGGAAAAGGATACGGTATTAACATCAATAGCGAGTACATCACTCACCTTCGGTTTGCCGACGATATAGTCCTTATGGCAGAATCGCTGGAGGACCTAAGCACTATGCTCAATGACCTCAATGGTGTCTCCCAACAGATAGGTCTTAAGATGAACATGGACAAAACAAAGATCATGTTTAATGTCCATGTCACACCTATGCCAGTGGTTGTTGGGAGCACTATGCTCGAAGTTGTTGACGAGTACGTTTACCTGAGACAAATAGTCCGACTAGGTAAGTTCAACTTCGACCGACAGGTCAATCGACTGATTCTACTCGGCTGGGCAGCGTTCGGTAAATTACGACACATCTTCTCGTCAGGTATACCTCAAACTCCGAAAACTAGCCTACCTACCTATGGAACTGAGACTTGGTCCTTCACTGCTGGCCATATGAGGACGTTCGAGGTCGCTCAGCGAGCTATGGAGAGGGCTATGCTCGGGGTTTCTCTGCGTGATAAACTCAGAAATGAGGATATCCGCAGTAGAACCAGAGTAACCGACACAACCCAACGGATTAGTAAGCTGAAGTGGCAACGGACCGGCTATATAGCTCGAAGAACCGATAACCGATTGGGAGAAACCGATGGTTCTCGAGTGGCAGGCTCGTACCTGTAGGTGTAGTATAGGGCGACCCCCCACTAGATGTAGTGACGACCTGGTAAAACATGCAGGAAGTCGATGGGTACAGGTGGCTCAGGACCGTGCTTTTGGCATTACTTGGGGGAGGCCTATGTTCAGCAGTGGATTTGTGAAGGGTTGTAATGATGAATGATGATGATATTGTTTCGCTAAAAATACAGTTAGTATTTATATATAAATATAACTTATACGTCTTGAACTTTATGGAGTGACCTGAAGGTGGTGTGTACTTTGGTATCTTCTGCTGGAAACCCTCGACGAGTAGAAATAGGTGTGCCGAGATTGTGCTTGTTATGTTAGTTATGATGAGATCTTATCTCCGGCCAGTGGCGGATTATTATGCTCAAGGCAAACTAGGCAGTGCCGAGGGGCGCAAGGTTGAAAAGGGGCGCGCACGGAAGTTTTTAAATGAAAAAAATCGAATCGAACTACGAAGATAAGGTTATTATAGTATGTGCCAAATCGACTGAGAAAAACGGACAATGACCTTTGGGTCGTTTAACCAGGGGTTACAAACCTTCAATATATAGGCACATTTTATATGTAGTATTTTCTTTATTTATAATGATTATTTTTATAATGATATAGTATATATTTATTAACTATACACAAAAAAAAATCAAAATCGTTCGAGCTGTTTTCGAATTTTAGCAAGACTAACGGACAGCAATTGATTTTTATATATAATATTATTTATATTTAATTTTTGTATAGTTAACTTTAAATTAACTTCAGTTTGATAAAATATTACAAATACAGAAAGCAACACTATCCAGGTATCCTACTCGGAGAACGGCACAGACTACACCCTATACCTTGTTGCGGGTGACCACAGCGAGCGACTGCGTTGGATTCACGCTATAAGAACTGGTATGTAAAAATTATATTTTATTATATATGAAAACACAAAAGTGTCTACACCTGATTCGAAAACTGACCGACTAGGTGTGTAAAACATGGTATAAAAGTAGAAAAAATTGTTTTAGCACATTGTCACGTCGTGGTACATTTTATTGCCGAAAAAATGAAGATTTCGATAAGGGCTAAGGTCTGGAGAGGAAGTCATGGCAGGCCTGCTGCACACCTTGTTTAATTTATGCTGGCAACTGAAGGCGGGTACCGGTAGACTGGTGCAAAGCCGTGATAGTCCCAGTATATAAAGGAAAAGGGTCGCAGCAGGACTGTAAAAATTACCGTGGCATCAGCCTTCTTAGCATTGTGGGAAAACTGTATGCTAAGGTACTGAATGAAAGGGTCATGAAAGAAACTGATGGAAAAATTTGGGATGTGCAAGCGGGATTCAGAAAGGGAATGGGATGTACAGATCAAGTCTTTTCCATGCGTACGATCGCGGAGAAGTTTTTGGCCAAAAACCAAAAGGTTTTTTGTGCGTTCATGGACTTGGAGAAGGCCTATGACAGAGTGGATTGGGATGTGCTATGGCAAACACTGAACTCATTTGGGTTGAGCGCTGGCTTGATACAGGCATTGGAGTCTCTTTATAGGGACACTAGTGCTTGTGTTAGGATCAACGGGGTCTACTCGGACTGGTTTGACATCCATAAAGGTGTCAGACAGGGCTGTGTGGCTTCCCCGTGGCTGTTCAACCTATTTATGGACAGTTGTTTGCAAAATTTGAAAGTTGAAGAATGCGGATTAAGAATGGGTGAGTTAACCGTCAAATGCCTTTTGTACGCCGATGATCAAGTTATCCTTGCGTCGTCGGCGGCCGAGTTGCAAATGATGGTTACATTAATTAACAGATCATTAAAAGAAAGGGGTATGAAAGTGAACGCAAGTAAGACGAAGGTTATGGTTTTTGAAAGAGAAGAAAGTAAAACGATTTGTGAAATAAGAATAGAAGGGGAGTTGATCGAGCAAGTAGATGAGTTTGTATATTTGAGCTGCGTATTTAGCAGGGATGGGAGATATGATAAGGATATAGAACGACGAGTGAATGCGGGAAATAGAGTAAATGGGGCCCTGAACTCTATTGTGAAGAGTCAAAATGTGTCAAAAAAGGCACGTATGGTAGTGAAAGTTGGGTGTGGCAGAAGAAGCATGAGAGTAGAATCAACGCAGTAGAAATGCGGTCCTTAAGGAGTATGTTAGGGCTGAATCTGAACGACAGGGTAAGAAATTGTGTAATAAGAGAAGAGTGTGGTTTGCAAGATGATGTTGTGACCAGGATTAAGAAAGGAATGCTTCGGTGGTTTGGTCATGTGGAAAGAATGAATGAGGAAAGAGTGACAAAGAAAATTTATGTTGCAGAAGTGAATGGCAGAGTCGGAAAGGGACGTCCTAGCCGAAAATTCATCGACCAAATTGGCGATTTATTGAAAACGGGCCAAATTAGGAGTACCCTTAACCGACGAGCATGTATGCGTAGGTGTATGGATGTGAAGGAGGCAAGAGAGGTGTGTCAGGATCGTGCCAAATGGAAGTCTGTAGTCTCTGCCTACCCCTCTGGGTGACAGGCGTGAGTGTTTATGTTTATGTATATGTATGTTCGATAGGTAGTGTGTATAACATTTTACGTGAATGCATGGGGATAAAAAAGTATTCGTGCGATGGTTACCCAGAATGCTTATCCGCATTGGTAAGCATTCTGCTTACCAATGCGGAAACAAACCAGACTGAATAACTTTTGAAGCTTTTTGGAACTGTTGCAACAATATTCTGATCGTTTTTTGGCTCGATTTATAACGATTGTCAAAACGTACCATTTCACCATTACGTTACCGTAACAAATTTACAGTCTTTGACTCAGAAAATCATCTTCTCCAACTCCTAAGATATGGTCCTTTCGCTGGTAACACAATAGGCTCTTGTCTGGGATATTCAGGGGTTAGTAATGATTTAATATATCGATCATGGAGCTACTATCAGAGGCATTTTGTATCCAGAACAATTAGAAAAATTGCGAGGAAAACTGGCAAAGATTACCTTGTTTCATAATACCAAGACGAATTCTAAAGCAAAAAGTGCTAGCTACGAAATGTGTTAATTGCTTTTATGATCTTTTTTAAACATTGCACTCGCCGTGCACTTAGAACTCTTCGCCACGCTGTTCGCTAGTAACAGTACTCCCACATAAATTTTACAAAAATACTACGTATTTTGTACCAATCAATCTATGTCCAACAATGGACTTTTGATAGGCTGTAATAAAATTATCGACCTTTTTGCTGTTGTGACATGAACCAAATCTTGTAAAACAATATCATCTCAGGTAAATAGTTTATACATGGTGGAGTCACGCTGCAATACGATCGGATCGTCTTGAGCGGGGAAAAAACATGTTCGCATAGAATACCCGTGTGAAATAACAGCATGATACTGCTGTGCTTCGTATGATATATGACGAGAACTGGAGACCCTTTTTACTGCTAACGAGGTATTCCATCTCGGTCCTCAGGTCACCCCTGCAACGCATCTGCTTTGTGCAGTGCGTTTGTAATCTTACAATGTAATAAAAATGAAAAATGAAAAGATGTGGTTTATTAGTACAGCTGTAATGATTTCTTAAATTTACGCGAACACTACACATTGAATAAAACTATTATTTACGGATTTTATCGCGTTTAATATCTTTAATTTATTTTTATTATTATCCCGACGTTTCGGGTGCTTTACAGCGCCCATGGTCACGGGGGGGACTGAGATGTTTGACGTCCCAATGTCATAGTTAGTCCGGCTACCTTCAGTTTTTTAATATTAATTTTTGGTCCGATTTACGCAAAACGAGCTTATAGTATCATGAAGTCTTGCAGTGGTATGCTTGGGTTTGGGTTTAATTTTGTTGATTATAGGATCCCAAGCAGATGGTAGCACCCAACCATCTTCTCTATTGAAATTTGGATGTTTTTTAATTTCAATAGCCTCGCGTATCATCCTTGGTAGGAATCGGTGTTCTTTTGCGAGAATTTGTGGTTTATCAAATCTAATGTAATGGTGGGGACGATCTTGAACATGTTCGCAGACTGCAGACTTCCCGGAGCGTCGGTGCTTCACATCAGCTATATGTTCCTTCACGCGGGTTTTTATAGATCTCTTTGTTTGACCTATGTAAGAGAGACCACATTCACAATCTAGCTTGTACACACCTGCATCTTGTAGAGGAATATTACATTTGATGGATGGTAAAAATTGACTAATCTTCTTCAGCGGCTTGTAGTATGTCTTAATGGACGCTCGCTTTAAGATGTAGCCAATCTTGTCCGTGACTCCTCCAACATATGGTAGTAGAGCAGGTGCGCGCTCGACTGTTGCCGGCTTCACTCGTTCACTGTGAAGTAGGCGCGGGACCCGAAGCTTGTTGTCTTGCAATACTTGCTTGACGTGCTGAAGCTCCGCAGCCAGATGTTTTCTGTCACAGATCCCTCGTGCTCTCTGAAACAAAGATTTACCCACGGTAGCTAACTGTGAAGGATGATGGTGAGATTCACCATTTAGATATCGGTTGGTATGGGTCTTTTTCCTATACACAGTGTGACCAATAGTGTTATCAGGATTTCGGATGACTAAAACATCTAAGAAGGCTAAAGAATTATTTGTCTCTAACTCCATTGTGAATTGTATTTTAGAGTTTATGGAGTTAAGGTGGTCTAAAAATGCAGTTACTTTGTTAGATGGTAAAATTGTGAAAGTGTTGTCTACGTACCGCTTGTAGAACCTTGGATTTACAGGAGCAGTAAGAAGGGCTTTCTCCTCAAAGTCCTCCATGAATATGTCGGCGACTATGGGAGACACAGGTGAGGCCATCGCCACACCATCTACTTGCTTGTAGAACTCCTCCTTCCACAATAGATAGCCAGATGTGAGGCAATGTTCAAGTAGTATTGCATATTCTTGAGGCATGTTATTTTCTTCTAGCTTCCTAGTTACAATTGAGATGCAGTCCACAATAGGTAGGCATGTAAATAGTGACTGAACATCAAAACTGACCATAGTTTCATTGTTAGCGAGATGTAGGTCTTTTATCTCACTCAAAAAATGGTATGAATCCTTTGTGTTTGCTCTGGTATGTCCTCTCAGTGGTGATAGTATTTTTGCTAAGTATTGTGCCAGCTTATAAGTTGGTGAATCGATCTGGCTCACTATGGGACGTAGTGGAGCGTTTGGTTTGTGTATCTTCGGTAACCGAAGATACACAAACCAAACGCAAAGTGGAGACAGAGGGAGCAAGAGATTTGCATTAGCCTCCTCCTCATAACGACTAAAATAAAAATAAAAACTGCGATCGCGAACCCGTTTGCTGTGAGAGGCAACTATGGTAACTATGAGTCAAAATGTGTGGTAGACCTATGTTCAGTAGTGGACTTTAATGGGCTGTAACAGTAACGGTAACTATAACCATTGTCTTGAACGTCCAAATTTTTGCTTTAAAGATTTTAACAAGTTTCATAAAGTTATATAGTGTACGATGACATAGACATGGGTACTACTCTTACCCCGTATCAAAACGTATCTATGTATTGGATTTGAATATCTGATATTGAAACTATATATTTCGTTATCTATATGTCGGTTGATATTTAAATATCTACGTAATTCCGTAACTCTGATCGGAAATCAGTATTCAGTAGGTACTATACGATGATACGCGATTTTGATCGGTTTGGTTTGCTTATGTGTTGGTTGATATCTATGATACTTTGAAACGAGTATTCGGTCGTATTCGGAGTAGGCATGTGTGTTCTACTCAAATGTAATAAACTATCTGGTATTCTTTCGTTTTGTTTTGTTTTCCGATATATAGATATTTTAAATTGTACCGATATTTAGATATTGTATATCTACTGTTCACTTGTTCTTTCTTGGCCGGGCTGAAGTTAATCGCGAGTGGCTGCTAGGAACAAAATGGTGTCACCACTTTGTTAAGGATTTTGTGTCATGTTTGTTTAGGAACAAAATGGTGACAAGAGGAGTGGGATGGAGGGCGATAACTAAAATTATAGATGCGAATACGCATATTGCGCGATTACAATTACGTAAATAATCGATTATTGTTGCTATCGATTATGATTCGATTTTATTTTATATTTTTTACGATTCATTGGTATGTAAATGCAACGTGCCGTTTTGAATAAAATAATTATCATGATGTCCATTTAAGATTTTATTGATGAATTTCATGTTATATTATTTTGGGGTTACTGAAAGATTTTGTTGTTCCCGCTAATGTCGTGTATTTACTATATATTCGAACTCTTTAATAATAATACTTTTTTGATTCTATTGTTTTATCGAAATATACTATTTTCGTAATAATAATAATTTTTAATTTGTTCTATAATCGATATAGATAAAACTGTTTCCCTAAGCAATCTTAGGCACGAATATAATGTGGCACATCTCTATCGACTAGCGTCTGACTACAAATGTCTCGCAAAGCCAACTTCAGCTCGGCCAGGATAGAATGTGCGGACTGTACTCGTATATTATATAGGATTTATATCTACTAGACACAAGTGTACGATTGTAGTGTGCGTTGCGAACGCGCGTCGCGCCCGCTACCACCCGGCGGCGTGGTGCGCGCGCCGCTGGGGCTGCTGCCAGGACGAGCGGCGCGCCGCCCCCGGCTGTGCGCTCGCCACCTTCTGGCCGCTGCCCGAGCCAGAGCTCGACCTCATAGTGCCAGCCGGCGACGCCTCACGTATGTACATGTTGTTCCTTTTATGTCTTCATAGTCAACATCACCATGTAAAAACTAAATGTTTCTCGTATCTTGCAATGGACGCCATGTTTGAAATCTTTGCGTTACGATAATAACCGTGAATATTATCAGCTGTTTCTGGAAAACTATAAATGATGCATGAAATATCTTAATTTTAAATTATTGTTACGAGCTTAAGGTTCGTGACAATAAAAACTGCCGATTGAATTACCAAAATTTACACTTTAATTCACTTTACACTAATTAAAACTTATAACACTAATAATTAACCTTAATTAAAAGATTAAAAGCTTCGCTTGTCTCGCCAAATTCAATACTAGATGGCGCTGCTGGTTGAAAGATTTGTCATGTAATTTTATGAAAAGCTCTCCTCGCTCTGTTACCCGACACTAGATGGCGCTAGTGCCAGACGTCAACTTAGGCGCGCAACAATGCCCCCTCCTAAGACATGCTCGTCCCGAGCATTATCGGCCCCATAATAACGCGCCAGGCGATCCACATGGACGATCTTAGGAGTCCCTCTTGTGCCTTTCTGTAACGGCTCCGCAATGTCAAGGGCTGTCCTGTCCCATGGTGCACCAACATTGTACAATTTCGATGCTCCTCTACTACGTGTCTGAGATCCCCTCACAACCGCACAACTTGTACATGTGCGACACCAATTCTCGTCATCGTCACGATAATGGACCCAGTAAAACTGTTCTCGGATCTTCAGTAGAGTTCGTTTAACTCCCAGATGGACTCCTGAACAACCATTATGGTGCAGCTGTAAAACATTCGGCACTTTAGCTTTAGGGACAATTTGCAAACGACAGCTGTCTCCTCGACCACTGTCCCAGTTACGGCACAGAACTCCATCCTGAATCAGCAAGCTGTCCCATTGAGCCCAATAGCTTCTAGTGGTCGAACTCATCGCTGAGATATCTCTCCACTTAGGCTTGGTAGCACAGGCCTTCATCCATTCCAGAATCGGCTTGATGTCCGGATCTTCCTGATGTGCATGTCGTAGGCTGTCCTTCCACTCGTTGCTGAGGTGGTCTGTCCTGAGCATCCTCACGGATACCACTTCCTTACTCTCTTGCCTAGTACAATGTTTGCACTCTTCAGGACAAGGTCTTCTTGACAATGCATCTGCGTTGCCATGAGATTTCTCGCTCCGATGTCTGATAGTAAAGTCGTATTCCTGCTGCTGCTGGGCGGTGATGGTAACCGCACTTCCTTTCTGAGATCGTTCACCTTCCCTTTCTAGGGTTCGCTTAGGGCAGCTGGATCAAGATGGCCCCAGCCATAGCACCTAGGGCTGTATCCTTTATTGTGGTCGCGAACCGTAACTGCTGCAATCTCCCTAGCGTGAGGGGAACGATGATCCTGCCGCCGCCAGGCGGTGCCGTTAGCTGCACTACCCTCTCGAGATCGATCAACTTCCATTTCTACGGTTCGCTTCGGGCAGCTGGATCGAAGATGGCCCCTTTACCCACAGCCATAGCACCTAGGGCTGTATCCATTATTGCGGTCGCGAACTGCTGTAGCTACTGCATGCAACCTCTCTGACGCGATGGGAGCGAAGATCCTGCTGCACGGCTTCTCCACCTCCAGTGCATGGGCCAAGCCTTAAGCGTCTCGTGGTGCCCGAGCCTCACAGCAGCTATGACCTCAAGGCCGCGGATGCCGTCGATGAATGTCTGCACCAGGTACCCTACAATGAGCGCAGGTACAGACTGGTATGCTTTTCGAACCATCTTCTCCACCTCAAGAGCCCACTGCTGAAGGGTTTCGTTGCTGCGTTGCACGCAATCTTTAAGCTGCGCGCGAAAGACGTGTTCCAGATGAGCGTCACCATATCTCGCTCCCAATGCCTCAAGGAGCTGCTCGTAGGTCACTTTCTTACCGAGAGCTTCCAACACAGTTAAGGCTTGGTCGCGCAAGCCTAGGGTGAGTACAGTCATGACCTGGCTTTTATTCCAGCCGTTCGCCTCCATGACGGCCTCGAACTGGATTTTATAGGCCGACCAGGAAGAAGTCCCGTCGAACGGCGGCACTTTGAATCCACGTAGCGAAGGTGTTGTAGCTACTACGGGAGCTGTAGTTCCATCCCCAAGTTTGAGGTCGTTCAGCGTTTTCTTCACGTCAGCCATCACGTTGTCGACCCGATTGTTCACTTGGTCGATTCGGGTTTCAGCTTTCGCGATTTGGGTTTCAGCTTCTGACAGGCGTTTGTCATGCTGAGCAACCCTATCCTTCACCTCCTTTATCTACTTCCCGAAGGTAGCGTGAAGGTCCTTCATGAGGAGCATCTGCTCTTCCAACCGACGGGCCTCTTCTTTCTGTCGGCGGGCCTGTTCATCTTGTCCGCTCCGCAGCTGCTCTTCCAACCGACGGACCTGTTCCTCCTGTCGGCGATCCTGTTCGTCTTGTCGGCGAGCCTGTTCCTGCAGCATTATCATGAGAGCACCTGAGTCAGGTGAAGCAGGTGTAGGAGCTGTTGACGGGCCAGCCTTCGTGGCTGGTAGTTGGCCCCCCGACGTCTGCGGTGTTGCACCACCAAATCTTCTCTGGTCCGTCTCCTGCTGGCGTTGACTTCGGGTACGGACACCCTCCGTTTCCTCCTTAGGAAAAATCGGCATGACATGATCCCACTTCTGACACCAATTGTTACGAGTTTGAGGCTCGTGACAATAAAAACTGCCGATTGAATTACCAAAATTTACACTTTAATTAAAACTTAAAATACTAATAATTAACCACACTGATTCATGATTAAAACTACTTTTACGGATTTTATCGCGTTTATTTTTACTTTTTATTTACTTTTATTTTTAATTCCCGATATTTCGGGCGCTTTCCAGCACCCATGGTCACGGGGGACTGAGTAGTCCGATAAAATCCGTAAAAGTAGTTTTAATCATGTTTAGTGTTCGCGTAAATATAAGAAATCATCACACTGATTCACTTTATTTCGCTCCGAAGCTTCGGTTGTCTCGCCAAATTCAATACTAGATTGCGCTGCTGGTTGAAAGATTAGTCATGTCATTTTCTGGAAAGCTCTCCTCGCTCTGTTACCCGACACTAGATGGCGCTAGTGCCAGACGTCAACTTAGGCGGGCAATATTATTAAGGCGTTAGCTTATCAAGACCTTGGTCAAATGCTTCCACTTTGAAAATAATTATTAATTATTCATTTTAAAGTAGTTTGACATTTTACCATTTTCTATTAATTATTGCTTAATCTGTAATTTTGTATAAATAATTTATTATTTTATTCTGAATCACATATTATATAAGAACTATAAATGTATTTTATGATTGTGTGTTGGCGTTTTGGAATGCTGTCTGTTCTGAATGTGTTGATTTTAATAAATAAATAAAATAAAACTCTCAATCTTATAGTGCACTGTTAAATGTTTTTTATATTTTCACTCTAGCCGTGGCTCTATTGGCCATGCCGACACCAACAATTTTTTTTTGTATAACATCGCTCCTCTCATTCCTTTAAAATTGTTCGGATATTCCATTTAGCTGATGGCGGTGTAACCATTTCGTATTTACGAGGGCGACACTGAGAGTTTTTAGAACTGGCCACTTGTAAACAATATAAAAAAAATGAGTTAAAATTTTGCAAAAAGCCCGTACGGATAAAGAATGGGATTATAATATATGGTGGCTCATGGAGTCCGTACCGTCAACATGCACAATACAAAAAACGAAAACCTGTTAATATATATAATATATAATAACGGTATATATAATATATAATAACGCTATATATAATAACGGTATATCGTTAATTGAAACGTTAGATATTTCAGTTAGTTGCAAATTTGCTATTTATGGGAAAATTTAATTATTTATAACCATATATTAGTAAATTATTCACGAAGACTATAAAATAAAACAACGTATTTCTTAAATTAAGTTTATATTAATTTAAATAACAGTCAATAAAATATTTTAAATAGGATAGAGAGGCATGAAACTCTATAGACATTTATTTTTTACGTATAGTAGTATTTGGAAATTAAATTCTGCTACTTGAACTTTCACCAGAATCGTCTGAAACACTTTTATTCCGGACATCCAATCGTTATCTTAGTGATCATTGTTAGAATCGGAGCAGCTATCGCTTTCACAATCACTGTTCAGCTCAATAATAATTATAAACTCTTTAATGTCATTTTCATTCGTTACCTGCCTCGCCCAATAATCATTTTACAAACTTTTTATGCGAACTTCTTTTCGTCAATCCACGGCCGTAATTGAGGCTGTTGCTTCACGCGTTAACACTTTTTAACTATTAAAAAAAATAGTTAAAATATATATTTATATATTTGTACTTTTTTTTTCAGCAGAACGACGTTCTTTTCAGCTACTATTTGTTTTACCAGATTTCATACATATTCTATCGGGTTTAGATCACAATTGTATGGTGATAATCTTAATGTTTCATGGCCGTGATTAGCTGCTAATTTATTTATTGCGTAATGTTTCTCTGGCTTGTATTTTTAACTACAGTGGACCCCCTGTAATTCGGCCCCTGTCTAATCCGGCACCCCCTGTAATCCATCCGGCATGGTCTATTATTTATTATTGAATATTTTTGTCAATCTTCGCTAATGCAAGATTGAACAAGTTATAACTTGTACGCATCACCACTACTGTGCTCGACGCGTAGGGTATTGTTTTGATTCCGATAGAAAAATTTTATTCTGAAAATCTTTGAAAGATCATAATTTTCCTCAAAAAGCGTTATTGCTTCTTGATAACGCTCTTAAATTGATTGATTCATAATTTTGATTATTTAGTATGTACTTTACGTGGTAGAGCCATGCTGCAGCTATATTAGCAGTATAGTTGTAGCACGAATGGGTCGGCTCGATCGGGGAAGGACCACGTTCTCACAGAATACCAGCGTAAAATAACAGCTTAATGCTGCTGTGTTTCGTATGGTGAAGAACCGGAGACCCTATTTACTATAGCGAGGCATTCCATTTTAGTCCTCACGGGTGACAACGCCTCTGCATATTGATTCATAATCCGAGATAGATGTCTATGGGCCACAGTAGTCACTAACCATCAGGTGGACTACTTGTTCGTTTTTCACCCTTATCTATATACTATATAAACTTAATAATCCCCATCTTTTTTAATTCGAGTGACAGTCCTTTTGCCATACCCGCCCGTGCATTACTATATTCCAATGGGTGATAACGTTCCAGATTTTTCTCTTACTTAAAATACTTTATTACGTTATATACAATTTTACATATAGCACTATTTAGTAACTTTCCGCGTTCCATTGTTAGCAGAATGTAGATAAAATAATAAAAAAAAACACCAAATAACATAATAATAGTCAACAAAAATGAAGTAACGAACAACGCTTTACATTAAATAATAATTAGAAACAATAATAGCGACTTTATAAAAGTATTAAAAAATTAACGATAATTATCTAAAAGACCCTTACTTAGAACATGTTTAGGTCACAGATCTGCGAAACCAGGTATATTATTTTTAATTTATGGTATTTTGTTATAATTTATGCCAATAACAAGTCGGACTGAAGTCCATAGCACGTACGAAAATCGCATATCGCAACATATTTTTTTTTGTACCGGCGGGTGTGAGTATAGATAGCGATAGTGTGCGTGCGAGAGGTAAATAGAGGCGACGCCATGTTCAGTCCTATTCTTTAACCGCACGAGTTGTATGTATTTTATTCATTTGTAAACGATTTGGTGGCAAATTGAAAATTGTCTGTGTCACGTCAGTATAAATTTAACGCGAGAAAATTTCCGTACAATGATTTTTTTATGACTTTCGATGTCATTTAAGCCAACAAGAAAGTTATGCTTGACTTCGATTGGCCTTTCACGATGAAGCCCCATCTCGTGCCACTGTTTACATCTGGTTTAATGAGTTTAAACGTGGTCGCACTAATCTTACTAATGATCTGCGTGAGGGACGGCCTTCTACGGTGACGACTGAAGATAACATCAGTGTTGTGCGGCGTATGATATAGACTGACAAAAGAGTGACTTATCAGCAGATTTGGACAAGTTTAGGCATCGGTATGAGTCAAGTGCTTAAAATCCAAAAATGTTCATTTAACGGTCATTTAAATTCGCACGGGATTTTAAAATTTAGGGTAACACTGAAGTCAAAATCAGCGTTTAAAATCGGTAATATAAATTTATTAGTAATATTCAATATGTAAATTATGAATATAAAATTCACGGAGTAGTTATCTTTTTGTATGATTTTAAAACTTCATGGGTTTTCATGGGCTTTGAAAGAGTATTTAAATATATAAATAATGATATTATATTGTTATTGCAGTTTTTGAAAATACGAGTAAATAATGCCACTACTTTTATTTGAATTTTAATTTGAATTAGAAATTTAATTTTAACTATCCCAAATTTAATGTGGTTTATGGGCAACAACTACACGTACGCGTGCGCTCCTCTGTGTACGATTTAAATTCACAACCGTTTTGCCGACTGAGCGACCCTTACGAACGTGTGCGCGCATTGTAAAATAGTAGGATTTAGATATTTATGAATGACAATCAGTTAAAGTAATGCATTACCATGCTGAACGCATTCTGAATTTAAAAGATAAAAAGAACAGAATGTGTGAGATAGTTTTTTAATCCTTTTCTGCAACTTTGGTTCTATATTGCAAAATATAATATAATATGTTTGTGGCTTTCTTTACTACATATATGTGTATGTATTTTAATTTTTTTTTTGTTTTATATAAAAATCAATTGCTGTCCGTTAAGTTTCGCAAAAACTCAAAAATGGCTCGACAGATTTTGATGATTATTTTGTGTGTGAATCGGTGGGTGGCACTGCGCGCGTTTTGCGTTCGAGCGTTCAATTGCTCACGAATCTCGCTGTTGGATGGTCTACGCGGTGCCACTACTGTTACCATGTATTTTGACTATAGTTCTTCATTGGAAGACGAATTATTGATATTGTGGACATTAGCAGCATCAAAACGAAAAAGAAAATATTGGGTGCGCCCAGTAAATAAGGATAGAGTGTGGCCTTAGTAGGAAAAGGGGAGATCTCCCGCCGGGCAAGGTGTTCTGCCCGGGGAGCGGCCGACACTCCGTGTGATAGTTCGGAGATGTTCTATATATATTGATTATATGATTCGGAATTTTGATAGCGTGATTTAGGCTTCGGTGTGTTTCGTTGGGGAGCATCGACAGTGCCGCCACATCACCCCCCTGCTCAGACCGGAGGTCGACAGTGCAGTCCGATTGCCGGTGCATCCTTAATGCCGGTGAGGAATGCATGCTGTGTGCGCAAGGGCAAGTGACACCGGTGCGAATGATATGCCGATGTGTAATGCATGCCGTACTTACGCACTGGCAAGTGATGCCGGTGAGAACGATGTGAAGCTAGATGGCTTGCAGGATATGAAGACTGCAGTTGATATCTGCTCAGGAGCGAATGGGTGAGGTATTCGATGACAATGATGAAGCTTGAAGTTTCCGAAGTCGAAGATCACGTCATTCACGTCGGGGTCACCTCTGTGGCCGTAGAAGGAAAATGGGAGATCTCCCGCCGAGCAAGGTGTTCTGCCCAGGGAGCGGCCGACACTCCGTGTTCGGAGATGTTCTATATATACTGATTATGATTCGGAATGTTGATAGCGTAATTTAGGCTTCGGTGTGTTTCGCTTGCGGCGCGACGACAGTGCCGCCACAAGAGAACAAGATGGAGAATTTCATAGACTGTTTTGTAAATGGCTTACTGATGAAGAAATTTTTTATAATTCTTTTTGGATGACAATTGATTCCTTCAATGAATTGTATGACAAAGTTAAAAATGACTTAGTTAAACAGGATACTAACTGGAGAAAAGCTATTTCAGCAAAAGAAAGATTGGTGACATGTTTGAGGTAAGAAGCTTTATTCATTATTATTATTAATTATATCAGCGGTTGGTTCATAATTTTGCCTAAGTTCAATTGCCACAGTTCAAATACACTCTGGACTTGACGTGCTTCATTTGACATAACATGTTGTGCATTATCTAATAGTTCATCCATTTCATGTGATGAAAATTCAACTAAACCTTGTGGGCTATTATCATCTTGTAACATAGGTTTTTCTGATGAATTATCCAATAATGTCATGGAATCCTAAGTAGACTAGTTAGTGGATGGTGAATTGACTGGAGTGATATTTATACTGTCCTGGACTTGCATTTCGTATTTTGCGAATAATGTTGCTATATCTAATTTAAGCATACTTTGCATGCGAGCCGGCAGTTTCTTCAATGAAGTCGCATAACTTTGAAATAATTGATCAATATCATCCAATCTTCTTTTATTAAGATTCTTTTCTTGCAAATATTTCAAAAGTGTTGTTGTGCGTCTGAATCGCTTTTTTGTGTTCTCTTTTTAATATTGCTCTTTTTGTTATTGGCTGAGTTTCCAGAGTAAGCACTATTACTGGTACCGCGACGGGGGAGGTTTTCTGAGTCAGAGACAAAATCTTGCGAATAACCACTGCTACTGATACCTGGACGAGTTTGGTTGTCAGAGTTAGAAACAAGTGAAGTACTGTTATTATTTTCACTGTTAATGTTACTATGAGTTTCTTTTAGTGTAACAGTGTCATCTAGAAATCGCAGCTGTTCTGCCCAAGGCCAATTTTTATATTTTTTGTATGCAGACCCTGAAGCAGTTTCTGTTGACTTTTTGAATTTCTTGTAGTTGTCTCTCAAACTTTTCCATTTGTTAGACCATTTTTTACCTGTAAAAAATATTCAGGCAGTGATTTAATAACATAAACTTATATATAATATATTACTTATTTCAGGTATCTTGCAACCATAGATAACTCATCCACAATAAGCAATTCCTATTGTATGGGAAAATCAACAGTTACTACAATAATCAAGTTAACATGTAATGCAATTTGGAAAAATCTGCAACCAACATGCATGCCATTCCCGTCAGAAGAAATTTGGAAGCAGTCTGTAGTTGGATTTCATGAACGATGGAGATTTCCAAATTGTCTAGACAGCATGTAACGATCAAATGCCCAGCCCATACTGGGTCCTTGCATTATTGTCATAAACAAAAATTCTCAACAGTATTGCTTGCTTGATTCTGATTTAAATTTCGTAGGATTGACGTGAGCAGTTACGGTAAAGATAGTGACAGCAGAATTATTCAAAATCCTGTCTTTTACAAGAAGTTAATTGATCAGCTTGGTATGAAACCACCAAAGCCATTGCCAGGTACCCAAGTACCGTGCCTCATGTATTTGTTGGAGATGGAAGTTTCAAGTTGGAAAGTTTTTTAATGAGACCAAATGGCCTCCTTCCTACAACTTCCTACAACTACAATCACCTACAATTTCCTACAGACATTGTGATTCGGGACTAGAAAAAGCAAATTACAATCGAAGACTTTGTGGTGCACGGCGTACAGTCGAAAGTGCATTCGGAATTTTGGCTCAGAAATGGAAAGTATTTATGAATGAAATTGAACTAAGCATAGACACAACAAATGAAGTAATAAAAGCTGAATGTTGCTTACACAATTACCTCAGAATTAAGGGTGACAATAGTGTGGTAGATAAGGATATGGTTCGTCGTTACTATGTAAACGCCCGTTCTTTTAATAATTTTGCTCCAAATGCCGAGTAAGTAATATTTTAAAAAGTAAAGTTACAGCCTATATACGTCCCACTGCTGGGCACAGGCTTCCTCTCATTTCTGAGAGGGTTTTAGGGCAAGGAAGTGTCCACCGCGCTGCCCCAGTGCGTGTTGGCGAACTTCACATGTCTTCCAAATATATTTTTTTCTTATTACTCAGACATGCAGGTTTTCTCACGATGTTTTTCTTCACCGCCGAGCACGTGGTAAATCAGCACTTAAAATTGCAATTAACAATTTCATTGGTGCCGGCGGGGTCGAACCCGGGTTACACTCGCGTTCTGTTATATTTACAGCGAGCGCTGACCATCTGAGCTACCACGGCTCTGTTACATATTTTAATTAACATTAAATGTCAAACTACTCCATAATATTAATTTGTGTCTTTAAAATAAATTACTTTGTACTTTATATTGCATAATTACTTTCCTATCCATATAATTATCCCATACTGAACAACTTTATCCAATAACATATGTAGAATTAAGTATGAAAAAATGTTCAGACACACGTGTTAGTTATACATACGTGATACTTAGCAGTTTTCAATACAGTAAAGATCCTTATTCACGATTCCCGTATTCACGTTTTCACTATTCGCGGGTTAAAAATTGCTAGGTACTAAGTTCCTGTATACGCGGCTAAATATTTATTTATTCGCCGATATAGTCTGTATCGCAGAATAAATAATAGTACTAAAGCTGTATATTAAAATGATTCGGTGTCCTCTATTAACATACGGCATCTTTTGAGTGCTGCTGGCCCGCGCCGAGTCGCCTTCTACAGAGTGTAATGGACTAATCTCAAAGTAAAACAAATTTCATTACCATTATGCCTAAATACAGTGAGAATGAAAACTCACCTAAAAATGGCTCATCCAGCAATCTTTTTACACAACTAAAGACATCTTTGCACATAAGTAGGCGATGCTTTTAAGAGTTAGAACACAATGTTTAAATTATGGTACCTATTTTATAAATTGAACATTTTATTTATTTAGTCAATAAATTTGATATAAGTGTTGAAATAAATTAATGACATGGATATGTAACATTTATAATTGACATTACATAATTATTGACATAAGAATATTAATAATTTACATTGAGCTATTATAATTCTTATACATCTTATTGGCAATTGTTTTTTTTTTCTGACACTGTTAATTAATTAATTATCAAATCAATTGAGTAATTTTAAAAATTTTGTGTTAATATATATATATATATATATATATATATATATATATATATATATATATATATATGCGATAAGTATTGTTGTATAAGTTACTTGACCATTAATATTTGCACACTAATGAGGTAGAATATGTAGAATGAATTATACTCTAACACCATTGTACAACCATATTTTTGTAAAGATTATTATATATAAGTACGTACATAATTTAAATACCTACCTAGTCACATACTAGTTAGGATTTGAAATTGCGATCTTTTTGATGTGAAAATGCACGCTCAATCTAGTAGGAAGTGTAAAGTTTTTATGTGACTTACCATTTTCGGTCCCCATTTCTCTGGCAATTTCTAACCATGCTTCTGCTACTTTCGCTCGGTTTTTATAATCATTGTTCTTCACATCATATAAGAAACATCTTTCGCGTACTAACGTAATCAACTTCGCGGTCTCCATCTTCCGTATTGGACACCAAAACAGCAGAGAACGCGCGAACGCCTACGTTCTGGTTGACCGACGCGGTCGGAATGCCTGCTGTCTGGGTATGTCTATGTAAAGGCATTAATTTACAACGCAATGAACGCAGAACGCGAACGCGGAACGTTTGAACGCCTGATTTTGCTTGCGTTCTTTGTGTTGTATTACGTAATTTACGTTACATAGGGTGCGTTTGGCAGAAAAAAGTGCTAGCAAGCGCTTGTAAGCGAAATGACGAAACTAAACAGTTTTCGGCCAGGACACGTTTGCTAACTTCAGTAGCGCTGACACAATCCGCTATTTTGCTTATTTAATTTGTTTGTTTTGAAGTAGAGTTTATAAATTGTTTTGTGCAATATTAGTTTTAAGTAATATAATGACGAATAAACATGTACATGCTATTAAAAATTCATGATTGGTTAGTTTTTAATACGAATACTTTACAAACATATATTTAAATTAGGTTAGGTTCCCCGGTTAAAGCTAACTTCGTGTCCTAGAGGAAAATAGCTACTTACGATTTGACCGCGCTTACCGCTTACGATCGCTATTTTGCTTTCAAGCGCTTGTTAGCGCTTTTTTCTGCCAAACGCACCCATAGACATACCTAGACAGCAAGCAAAAAGCATTCTGAATTCTGACCGCGTTGGTCAAGCAGAACGTAGGCGTTCGTGATTGGTGAGCTACGGAACGCTCGAACACAAAACGCAAACGCGGAATGCTTGAACGCGTGACCGCTTCCTGTCTGATAGAACCCTAAGCTGAACTTTATAAAACAATCTTTATAATGAAGTGTAAGCTAAGAATCAGAAATTTTAATTTGTAATTTAAAGGTAGAGGTACGTTAACATCATTGAATCTTATGATTAGACTGACCATAATGAAGAAAGCGGCGCGGGAAATTCAGGTACAATAAGTTAAGATTTGCACAGGTATATCAAATATCAAGCAAACATTAACTTACTGTACTTTAGGTAAGTTACTTTGATTTGTCGCAAATGTTCTTTAAAGGGCCGTGGTGCTGTGTAAATTAAAATATATCGCAGTAAGATCGTTTAATCTGTGAATAATTATATGAAAGTGGTTCATAACTGTAAACTAGGGTAATATCCTATCCCAATAGACTAATTTAGGGAAATAAGTATGTGTATAATGATTTCTTAATAGTTTTATTCAAAGTATGTGTATGTTATAGTCAAAACTCAGAACCGGTCAAAACCACTTTTGACTTAATACGTTGGTCAATACCACTTTTACTACATTGTACTTTTTGATTTTTTTTAAATTAAAAAGTTTAATTCTTTCAATGTAATATTTTATATCATTATAATGTATCCGGCTTTAGGGTGGCCCAAGGGCCAACCCAGACGCACGTTAACCTACTGTCAAAAAAGTAGAACACTTTAGCCTACTGTCAAAAAAGTAACATGAACAACAACACATCAGGAACTGAAGATCCAATGTCAATGTCGCGAAATTTGTTGGAGGCCTGTTTTTTAATATTTTTCAGCAGCTCTTTTTAAGTTTTCTACTGATAATGATTTCTTAAATTTACGCGAACACTACACATTGAATAAAACTAAATTTACGGATTTTATCGCATTTATTTAACTGATTTTACTTATTTTATATTCCCGACGTTTCGGGTGATACGTGAAGCTATTGAAATTAAAAAACATCCTAATTTCAATAGAGAAGATGGATGGGTGCTACCATCTGCTTGGGATCCTATAATTAACAAAATTAAACCCAAACCCAAGCATACCACTGCAAGACTTCAAGATACTGTAAGCTCGTTTTGCGTAAATCGGACCGAAAAATTAATATAAAAAACTGAAGGTAGCCGGGCTAATTATGACATTGGGACGTCAAACATCTCAGTCCCCCCCCCGTGATCATGGGTGCTGTAAAGCACCCAAAACGTCGGGAATTAAAAATAAGTAAAATCAGTTAAACGTGATAAAATCCGTAAATTTAGTTTTATTCAATTTTCTACTGATGATACTCTGTGGGTCCGAATGTTTTTTTCTTTGTTGCATTAATTGCACAATAGTTGCGGTCCGTAGCTTTTAGATTAGTAAGGTAGTTATATTACTAGATCGCGATCGTATCATAGTTATATTCGTAATAAGACAGTTATGAACCACTTTCATATAACTATATTACAGTATATAGCTATATCCCTAGGAATATAACTTTATCACAGCTTCAACCATCATACTGCGACATATGGGTACAAGAGACCTCTCGTTGCCTGCCTCGTTGGTCTAGTGTTCATAACCGCGGTTGTATATTGTGAGGCCCTGGGTTCGTTCGGGTCGGACCAAAGTCGGTCGTTGGGGGTTTTTCTGTTAAGAAATTTTCAGTAACAGCGCGGATTCAAGTAATGCGTTTTTAAGATCTCTCAAAATAGCAAACAATTTCTTATCTTAATTTATTTTGTCTCCCAAGCTTATCCCATTCATGCTCTATGGGTTTTAAGTCGGGTGAGCGCGTTGGCCACCTCAGCATTGATTTCAACGTCTCGAAGATGTTCGACAACTACAGCTGCAGTATGCCGGCGCGCGTAGAATATTAATTTAATGATACGATAGACAAGGACGTCTCTAACATCGTAAAGTTAAAATATATAATCAGACGTTATTTTGCGTAAATTAATTATGTTTAAAATGTTAATATTATTTAATTAATTGGGATCTGCGTGATAAATATGTGGGAGTGAACAAGTTGCTCTAAAACTAAGCAATACACGCCATTTTATTAGGCTCGTAGTACTTGGCTAATTAATTTTAACATCTTAAAACACTTATTACAAGCCAGTGCTGGACCGCAATCCCACCTGGTGGTAAGTGGTGACGCAGCCTTACATTGATTCACTCTATTCTTTTATCGATCCTTAACTTTAAAATAAATTGAACTGTAACCATCATTATTACACATCATTATCAGTCTATAATGATGATGATGGTAGTTTTTCCATAGTTGTCACGCCTGGGAGGTGGTTTGCAACGGCAGTTTTTTTTTTTAATTTCGAGTTGTTAACAGGAAGATGACCTATTTCCTGTTTTAGTTTGCTTCTGCCGCCTCATACGACATCTATGGGATCATACGGGGTAGTGGTTTCCCCTGCTCTGCTATTACACGGCGAATGATGAATTCTGTAATAATTATTTTGTATCACTCTTAACACGTTCATTTTTTTTCATAATTCGTTGAAAAGAAACAGTTGCTTGTAAATTAATTTACAATTATTTTGTTTCGTGTATATTCATCTAAACCTTACTTATCTGTATATTTATTGTAGCCAAATATATACTAATATCGTATTAGGCTTCTAAATTATCATGACATAGCTTTATTCATGTCAAGCAACTTATGACGTAAAACTTTCATCTTTTTCGCCCTTATGAAAAGTTAGAGTAGGTGAAGTGAGATAGCTTGATACGCCTGCGCGTAAGCATCGAATGGTGAATGTAGGCCGCGTGCGACCATCTTTGATGCCCTCACTGCCTCGTGAAACCTAAAGCCTCGTTCTCTATATTTATTTTACTTTACTAATAATAAATAAACCTAGGTGTGTTTAGAGCGAAGATAAGTCCTAAAATAAGTACAAAAATGTTCAGAAAATTCAGCTTCTATTTATTGATTTATTAGCAAGCAATACAAGTTTTCAACTAACACAAGCTTACACAAGTTATGCCCAGATATTCGACTTCAAAACTTCAAAGATTCAATAATCCCTTCCTGATGCAATGCATACGCTTTTAAAACATAGTTTAGAAAAAGTACTGGATTGCAGTGCTTAACTATCAAGTCTAAACTTTTATTTAAAAGACCTTTATTGAAAATGTTATTTTAATAGTTAGCTGCATCTAATTTGTATCGATTGGGCTGCATTCTGAAAATATATATTGTAAATTATTAATTTAAAAGAGCCCCCCTGGTCTTCTTGCTGGTTCTTCCCAGGTGTAAAAGCATAAATGATATTCAAAAAGTATTACTTGATTATGTTGAATAAAACGTATTCCATTCATTTTTTATTTATTATACATAAAACACACATTGAACAGATTTTACTGAAAATTGGATTTTTATTTACCTTGCTTTTCTGTCTATTGACAAAAAGATACGTTGCTTTTAAACTCCTTAATTTTTGTTTTAAACGATGTTTTAACCACTTAAATACTACATTGTCTTGCTTTGAGATCATGTTATGTAAATTATATTAATATTTAATTTGAAAATTCACAATTATTTTAATCATTGATGAAAGTTTGAAAAATATGTCAAAGTTAAGACAACGACTTGTAAACCATACTTCGAGAGGTTTATAGCAGCAGTATGTACCGCGCCTTACCGTCGCAACGGTACATTGATACGTCGTCCGACAGTCGACGGTGTGGTGTCGCGACGGACGTCCGTTCGCCGATCTTATGTTGCAGAGCAAAGTCGATGAGACGATGGTCACCAAGAAGAAGTCGAAGATACCATGTCTCTCATTATCCTCATTCCTCCCAGCACTAGAGGGTATGGCAAAATTCAGCTGACCTTTTTAACCAGTGGCCTCGTTGCCAGCGTTTGCCTTCAGTCGTTTCGTTGCACTCACTTTCTTGTCCCAATCAGTTGTACGCAATGCAAGCAGTTTGTGTTCAGTGATACTGTGTTTGTGTTTAAAGAGTGTTTTAGCACATATTGGTATGGAGTGTACAAAGTGGTTTCGGGTATTTGCGCCAACGTTGCTGAAAGTTGCAACGTAACGGAATCCCAATCTTATGCAGTCACTGATTGTGTTTCTCGTAAATATTTGTGAATTTTTATGTAGTGTGAAAGATTATATATCTTTTTTCCTGTTGTACGAAAAATGTTTTTTAAATTTTCTCTTATTATGCGTATATTATGATTTATATCAATCAAGGACAGTATTAATTATGGAGTGTAGTTGAATTTATTCTAAAAATGTCATAATTATCTTATCACCT